TGCTGATCTGCACTCCACCACGGGTGGTAAGAAAGCGTTCTGATACGGTACAATATTGGAGTGTACCAGACTAACAGCAGATGTAGTTAAGGCTATTAAAAGGAAATATAAAGTTACATAAGCACTAGAATCGGCCACATGTGGTTTCCTTTCCTCGTGCGCGTTTCGACACATTACACATGCAGCGAATGAGGTTTTGTGTAGTATGTAAAGTGAAGCCACTTTCTAGAATTTTCTGGCAGATTAAATCATTGTAAACTTTGGTCAAATTCCTATACTGTGTATTTAATGAACATCGTGAAAGAGATGCACCATGTGACCGTGAACATTTAGTTGTTTTCTCTATCTTGCAAACTCTGTTAGATTCTTTTAACTGTGGCATTCGTAATCTTTGCGACTTGCGTTTAATCGCTAACGTGTGAGGTCAAAGATTTGATAAGAAATAGTTCTACGTGGGTTTGTCTGCAGATGAGAAGGTCATCAAAGCAAAGAGCCTGTGGGAGACAAATGGGGCTGTGATCATGGCTGTAAGAAGACCTGGATGATTTTTGTGCAGAGAGGTGACGTCAAAAGTCTCTGTGAATGAACATAGTCTGTTTCCACTTAACTCTAAGTACATGTGATGTGATTTTTTTCTCTTTTTGGTATTTTTGTCTCGCTGCAGGAGGCCTCTGCGCTGTCCTCTCTGAAGCCCCAGCTGGAAGAGCTCGGGGTCCCTCTGGTTGCTGTTGTGAAAGAAGACATCGGCACAGAGATCCGGGACTTCAGACCGCACTTTGCTGGGGACATCTATATAGATGAACAGGTTAGCAGCTGTAGATAACAAGTAGGCATGCTCAGAAAAATTGTGAGAATAACCTGAGAGTTCTTGGCTGAGCTGAAAAACCTCTAGCATAGATTTCCAGTTTAGGCTTCAGCAGGAAATCACCATCGTAGCTACCTCGTAACTGTATGGTGTACTGAAATGCATGTCAAGTCCTCCTGTGCATTTCAGGTGACTTTTTTGAATTTAATATTTGAGAGAATAATAATAACTGCCATAGCATCCAAAAAAAGTAATCATAGCATCAGTATAAACACTCACAAATGTCACATTGCTGCAGGGTGATTGCTGAAATGATCGGAATTGAAATGAAGGAATGTACAAAGAAATGGGAAAACTTGAGGGACAAATATGTTTACCCCAGAGAAAAAAAACAAATCAAAAAACCAACTAACAACAAAGAGTGAAGACGCAGGAGGGGAAAAAGTCGGCGCATCTTTTTGTTTTTATTGGTCGACACCGCATATAAAACAGGACACTGGCATGCAATGAACCAGAAAAACCTTAAACGCTGGCAACACCGTTGGCCACTCACTTCACTTGGTGGCTGTGGCTACAATGTAGCTTGCCATCACCAGTGTGTGAATGTGTGTGTGAATGGGTGGATGACTGGTTGTGTAAAGCGCTTTGGGGTCCTTAGGGACTAGTAAGACGCTATACAAATACAGGCCATTTACCATTCACTTACATTGTAGGCTCTGCAGAGATTGACTGCAAAAGTCTAAATCAACATGCTCATAGTCGTTATGATCACTTGGTTATGTTTATATGCCATGATGGTAACATGAGTACTGTTATCTGTCAGTTATTAATGCTGATAAATTGTTTGGCTTTTAAATATTCACACCCATAACAGCAGGGGAGGCCTGTTTGAAAGGAAGGTAATCGTTCATGTGAAAGGTTGTGAAAGGCTGAAGTCATCGCCGCTGCACTCTTTGGAGTTTTTTTTCTCAGCGATATCTTTTTCATTCTCGGCATGAGTGCGTCTCTAATGGTATCCACCACACACATTATCCACGCACGATCTAATCTGTCGCGTTTCATTAGCTCGTTGCTATTAAGCTTTTCAAGCATATATCTCCTCTTTGTCTTTCTGACATTGCCTCTGCTGCTTAAAAAGCTCTTAAATGCCCTCCTCCTTCCTCCTAATGGTTTTTCTAATGGGAGCTCTGTGAAGAAATTAATCCTGACCTGCATCTTGTCTTAACTGCAAGGGGCCGTTTTACTGAATGTCCTGCCAGAAGCACAGTTACAAGTACCCCTGTCTTTTGTATGATCTTTAATCTCAAATCAAGCAGCAGTGCAAACTGTCAGGGATTGCTTGTTGACAATAAGATTGTTGGGTCATGAGAATGCAGTGATAAATCAGTTTTAGAGTAGCAGTCAAATAATGCTACTATAATTGCTGTATGCTGTGTATAAATGAGGTGGACTGAAACTAAAATGTGCATTGCAGAAATGTTTTTATGGCCCGGTGAAGAGAAGGATGGGAGGCCTGGGGTTCATTCGCCTGGGAGTGTGGCAGAACGTCATGCGAGCCTGGAGGTCTGGGTACCAGGGCAACATGAATGGAGAGGGCTTTGTCCTCGGAGGGGTGTTTGTCATCGGACCAGCAGAACAGGTAGCTTCCACAGATTTGGCTCAGTGATGCTTCACAAAATTCGTCTCTATTTTTAAGCGCGTTTTGTTTTTTGGCAGGGCATCCTCCTGGAACACCGCGAGAAGGAGTTTGGCGATAAGGTAGACACGGCCGATGTTCTAGAGGCCATTAAAAAAATTGTACCAGTGAAATAATCTTCGTAGCATGCTTTTATTAGATCAAAACTAGAATAGCAAATTGAATACTTTTAACCTCATGCAGAGTTTCAGTCAAAATCTAATATAATTATTATTTCAGTAATGTTCTGCTACTTATGAAGTCTGTGTTGTTTAATATCATAAGATGCCGCTGACTTTTGCACATGTAATTTGCTGTTGGTTATGAAAATCAAGCCACCTACAAGCTAGATTCTTGACATGGGAATGAAAATGTTAGGGAATTAAAGGCATCACTTCCTTTTAGGTGCAGTGGCCATTTATTTAAGGTCACTTGAAAATCAAATGCTTCTAATCTAATCTAATGGCTGAATTTTACATCTGAATATAACTGTGAAACATTTGAAATGTTGACTCTGTGTAAAAGCTTAATTTGCTTCTACTGGTCAAGCTCTCAAACACTCCTTTGACATAACAAGAGCGTGTGGTCTGTGTGTGATAATGACAACTTCACTCTAAACTCTTGGTCGAGGGGAGCAAGTTTGATGCCTAAACACACACACACACAGCTGCTGTCGTCATGTTGAGGACTGTTTGTGGTGCCTGATGCAGGTGTTGCTCGCTTTTGTATGACTGTGCGTATGAGAGAATTTTATGCATCTGCACATTTGCATACCAGCTGCAGAACAGTGAATAAAGAAGACCTCATCCAATATCTGTGCTTTTCTTTTTCTTTAAATGTAATTTGTATATTGGTTAAAACTTGGTCTAATAAAACAACTTACACAGCTCTTATGAGTTTTCAGAGAATTTCAGTATTTTTTTTTTTTGAGTTTTGAACATTTAAAACTTAATCCTTGAAAGCACAACAACAAAAACAAACCAAAAAAATTCCTCTGCATGAGTCTGGTTTTATTATGTTCTACCATTTCACCTTTAGACACAACAAATACTCTTGTCAGGAACCTTGGTATTATTACATCAGTAAGGTCATCAGAACGGCTCTCTCCCTCTTGCAAGTATATCAAAGGTTAGAAAATTCGTATCTCAAACTTGCACCAAGAAACTGGTCCATGCTTTATTAAGCAGGTTATATTGTAATGGTCCATTAGCGGGACTCTCCATCAGTATGATGACTTCAACTGTTTCAAAATGCAACAGCCAAGATCCCTACAGGTACATGAAAATCTAACCATATTACCCCATTGAAGTGATAGCAGGATGAACTCATGCTACCCATTCTTGTAATTTGGCAGGTTATTTTAACCATGTCTACATGATGAAATGCACTGAGCCATCAAAGATTTACATTAAACAGCAGTTGAATGGTGTACTTAATAAAGTGGCCAGTGTGTATAAACTCGAGGCAAAGTCCTTTATATATAGGAGCTATCACAAGGACAATTTACACATACACTTGTGTATCTATAGCTCTCTATATGAATCAGTAGTAATGCAGAGGAGCTTTTTACCACTAGGTAAGGCAAGCAACTGCTCGGGCCCCCAAGTCAGTGGAGTGGGATCCAGAGGGCTGCCAAACTTTAAGTTACAGCAGTGGTAAAGTCAGCAGGGACACAGGGAGAGACGTGATCACATTTACTTTGTTTTCTCTTATATTCATCAGTTAACTCATCTAACAGCAGCCTAATCCGTCCTGCTCTGCTGACTGTGACGTGACCACGTCAGAGTTTGAAATTTTTTTGTTTGACGGTGTCAGATTAAAGTTGTGAATGTTCCAACCACAAAGATTCAGTGGTTTTTAAGTTAGGTTAAATGTTTACCCTCATATCTGAACTGTTCTGCTGAAATATTCACTTATATGGTGTGTTGGATTATAATATTATTTTATGCCATGTTAGACCCCTAATTAAAGATTGTGAATTATTATGTAGTTTTAGTTTGCATTATTCTCCTGAATTAGAAGAAGGTGATAACTATTACATTTGTTAAACTGATTTGCATTACATTAGACTGTTGATTTATTGTGAATGAATGATATTGTTTTATGATGCATTATACTGCTGAGTTATAAGAAATACAGTTCCAGAAAGTCATCGTCTTATTTGTCTGATTAGAAGAGAACAGAGCATACTGCCCCGTGTCAGCAGGAGCAGATAAACAGGGAGCCAAGGTCGTACCTTAGGCGCTGTGTGAGAGAAAGAATGTGAATGTTTAGGGTTTTATGATTAGGTGGGGGCCACTAGAGGCTATAAGAGTTTGATCAAGGCTCCACCATTTTGAGATCTGATGCTGTCTGCTGTATGGTGTCCATCTCCCACGCGTGTGTTCATTAAATCATCGTTTGACTCAACCCGGCCGACCAGTGTTGTTATTTTGGTTTTCCTCTTGTATCCATCCCCAATATTTGAATCCGTAACAGGTGATAATAACCCGTGTTAAATATTACTGCATGAAACAGGCATTGATGTTACACATTTTATTCTATTGCTCAGATTAAAATACATCTCACGTCCAGGAAATATACATTTCAAAACAATACAAACAGAGGGAGAAAACACAAATACTTATAAGTCTACATGTATGTGAGTTGTATGTATATAAAATAACCAAACATTCATGGAGTGTAGCATGACATGACTTTTCCATGCATGCCTTCAGTATGCAAAGTTGTAAAACACTGAAAGAACTCTGTGATCTAAAATGTTACTGTCAATAAAATCAATGGCAAAAAAATGAATTCCAAAAATAAAGTGTGTGTTGGACTTTCTTTACATTTTCAAACTTGTAGCTTTGTATTCAAGACAATGGATTTGGTGGAGAGGACCACTTGTGTTAAAATACACAAAAAACAAACTGTTTTTGCACAAGTATGGCAAAAGGTCCATTTGCTAAAGCTGAAACAAAAACTTTTAAAAAGCTACACACTTCCTCAGTCCTTTACCCGTTTCATCTTTGGCTGGCTCTACAGGTGTGACATGATACGGTGGTAGAACACAGTCACAAGCTGGGACGATGAAAGTTTCCAAACGTGTCTGAATGCCGACTCAAACCCCTCAGTTTTGTTCTTAAACGTTTGTGCACCAAAACGCGAGTAGAAAAGGAGAAAGATTGGAACAAAGCAACTTGGTTACGAGCAACGGAAGCTAGCAGACCACAAATGATTAAAAATTAGCAGATGCGAAGCCACGATTTAGTCAGCATTATGAAAACTCACAGTCATCAATGCACACTTGTAAAAGCTCCTTTAAAACAGCAACACAAATCCAGTTAACTCCTACAGCAGCACAGCAAACACATCACACAGTAGCTGCAGTCAGCATCGTAGCAAAAAGCTCTTCAGTGGGCACTGCAAACACTTCTACATATAGACTATAGTAGTGATGCCAAGTGTGAAACACTGTCCTGCAGTGCATGTGACCCCATGTCGGTGTCTAATTCAAGCAGGGGACTCAAACAGAAGCCTTCTGTTCACGTGGATGAGATGAAAGGGAGTGAAGTGTTCATATAGCCAATAGTTAAAAAAAAACACTACGTACACTTTCATTTAAGTTTCAAGTAGCAACACTCTCCTAACGTTTGGTGATTAAAGCTACTGAATGTTGGAATCGCACATTAACACAATCACTGCGCATTGGTATCTGTACAAAAAGTCCATTCACAAAAATGCAAATGCTGTGCGGTTACTACAGTCCCTTAACGCCCAACATCTGTCCACAACTACATCTAAGTGTCTTAATGGAGATGAATTTTGGTGATCTATACAATCTTACCGTGGTCACATTTTTAACCAACATACACAAAACATCACTTTATACTAACACTGAATCCGAGCTGGTAATTTGCAACACTGATAAATCAAACTTTAGGAACACTCCTCTAATCTGAGAACTGATTGGTCTTGAAGCAGGAGAAGCTCCTAGTCATTTGCAATAAGTTACACTATATATATGTACACTACTGTATCAAGAGGAGAGGACATTGTTTCCAAGTGCATATGTGGGGCCATCTGATGCTTTCACTAACAGAGGCATACATTTTAATTAAAATCTCTAAAATCCCTCAAAAATGTGCTTTGTAGCTTCTACATTATATGTGCTTTGTACATAAATATATCCAAGAAAAATATAATTATTTTTACACCACTAAGACACCATCATCACTATCTAACCACACTGGAGACACTGCGTTTGGAGAGCTTGGTCAACAATGTGAATGACTGTTGATCAAAGATGCTCAAACTCGGCCGAGCTGTCCACATTAACAAAGCAGCAACAAACACTGTGCGCACAGCTACGATGACCTATAACCAGGAGTTTACTATTTTGACCTATTACACAACATTTATTACTGTCCTTTGGTTCAATAGGACATCAGTGGCTCTCGCGCTTTTGACAATCTGTGTGTTTTGATATCTCCCAGCCCACTTCAGGTCAGGTGCAAACACTAAAAAAAAAAAAACCCTCCAAACTGCGAGTTAGTATTCACATAACAGCAGCAATACATTTAAGATAATTTAAAATCCTTATCAACGATATCAACAGCATTTCTACTTCCTCATGTACACACAACACACTATCCTCTTTCCACCGGATACCACTACTTAAAAGCGCCGTCACCTTTAAGAAGAAAAAAAAACCCAGGCTGCCACAGTACATATTTATGCTGATGAGAACCACAGTTTGTAGTGTTGACTGATATAGGATGAGCGATTTGCTATATAAAGATCTTTGCCACAGGTACTGAGCACCTCATTACTTTGACTAAGAATATGAAGGGCATAAGTACACTTAGAGGAGAGTAGACGAGGGTAAGAAGCTGCACTGGGTAACAACAGGCATGGTACAACAAAACAGGAACTTCAACAGGAGTCGGGCTATTTAGAGTGACTTAATATACAGTTTTCTTGGGGCAACTGAGTTGGTGGCCTCAAGCTTTAACAAAACTGTCAGTGTGAAATATATGACACTGGAATATACACTGGAAAAAGTGGGAGCACAAGGCAGAAAAGACTGTTACATTCAGAAGAACACTCAGACTGTTACATACACACATGAGTCTTCATTTTAACTGAATCAGAAATGAACCTGAATGCAACGCAAGATATTGGCGGGTTGAGGACAAATCAGTAACTTCATGAATAGCCATCCAAAAGTTCAGCTGTGACCAGCGGAAGACAAAAAACACGCCAGAAAACAATAAACTGTAAATAGATGGCGCTCTTCTCTCAAGAGAGAAAAAAAGAGCCTTAACAAAACAAAACAACAACCCCTGCAAATATATTTTATTTCACCCTTCCAACTGAATCCAGAGCACTATGTGTATGAGTGTTTATGTGTGTGCGTGTGTGTGTGTGTGTCTCAACATATGCATGGAAATGTGCTTGCTGCTCCTACAGGCCTTTGTTGAAGTAGACAGTGGTGATGTGAGGACTGGTCTTTCGTATCCTTTCTTGCAGATCTTCTTCCAGCCCGCTAACACTCATAGCGCTACAAAGAGATGGTCCAGCATCATTAAAAGGCAGCCAAGTTAAACAACGCTAGATATAGACTGAATGAGTGAGGTGAAAGTGGCTACTGGTACCTTTTCTGAGGGAACAGGGCGCAGCACAGAGGAGTTGCAAACACCAGGCTGAAATCAAGAGATGAAAACAGGAATGTTTTAGATGTTGTTGCAGGTACATTCTAGGTGAAGTTAAAAATATCATTTGATAAAAAGATACTCTCACTGATAACAAGTCTACTTTACTCACCACAAACCAACAAGTCCCACCTGGACTGGAGCGTTAAGAATTGGAAACCGCTGCAGAGAAAACAGATAAAAATCAGGGACACGTACATATCAGATGAGTTTGTCTTTACAGAGCATCTACAGACACAAGCATTCAGTGTATGTGCAACATGTGGAATGCGGTGCGGCTCTTTAACCTCATAAAATACCAGCATGTCTGGTAAATCCACTCAGTAGAAACAAAATAGTACAGCAAACACGGATGCAATTCGCTTACCTTCATGAAAGCTCTCTTCTCCAGAGCATTCATTATGACAGGAGGAATGGCTGTGAACAGAACAACAAGTCAGGTGGGGGTTTCTGCTTCAATAGCAAAACAGGAAACTGTTAGTAAGGCTCAGAATGTGTGAGGTGAAGATACATTTTCTAATATATTTTTGGTGAGTGACGATCATAATGTTTTCTTGAATATTTCAGGGGAAACAAAGTCAACATATATTCTCTTAACTTTGTGTTTGCTGTCTAGCGGCTCTTGAGATAAATATCTGGGTCATAGGCTGTTAAACGATGAACACTATACAGAACAGGCAGAAAAACGGGGAACCTAACCAGCCAGAAAACTCCATAAAGCAGAGAGGAGCTGCAGTTTCAGCTGATACTTCTTTGCAGGTTTGTCACTAATGCATGCAAGGTAATGACCAAGCAGAGAAAAGGTCGACGTTACCCATTGCAGGCATCGCCATCCCAATCCTCGACACCACCACCTGCACGATGGCTTGTCTGGCAGCATTTGGAGACTCTCCTAACCGGTTTCCATTCTCATCAGTTACAGGGATACCGTACTTTAACTCCCTGATAGTGGGGAAAAACAAACATCATGTAAAGCTGTCATACCAGCTGTTAAAATATTAATCAGTGGCCTATTATAGTTAATACTTTAGTGACCTCACCTCTGCCTCATGAAGGGAATGTTGATACAGTTAGCAGCAGCAACAGCACAAAAAGGGACAAACCGACTGATGATTGGAGGGAGACGCTGCAAAGACACAACAAAATCAAGCAATCAGGATCACATCTCAGAGCAGGTCATGTGTGTTTGTTTTATCTTTGGCTTACTTCATGTTTGTTGCACTTGAAACAAACATATTACCGTAGCTAGAGACTTGAGTCCCAGTGCAGTGACTACGGCTCCAGTTGTTGCACTGACGTAGGCTGCACCGAGCTGGCTGCGAGAACAAAATTATCACAGGTCACACACTGAGAACCCACATCCCTTTTCAGCATTTTCATAAGTGAAACAGAGCCAATTATGCATCACCACATGAAGACAGCAGCTCAGAGTCTACAATTGAAGCTAAGGTGAATCAATGCAAAGTTTATGTGGACCAAGAAATGTGTGAAGTCATGTATGAATATTTAAAAATGAACGAGAACATCCTCGCAAATAATTGCAAAACAGAACATTACAATATGTGTTTCACTGACTGCATGCTTGATCCATAAATATGCATTCGCATGTTGCTGTTCTTCATAAATGCATGCATTCAATGCATTTTTGCAGCGTCTGGAAGGGGCAATTTATTGCAAATACGCTGACCTGTTGTCAACAAGGAGCACGTAATCAAAGTCAGCATGAAATCATGGTGACACGAGGCCGAACATGCTTAACAGTGGAACGTAATACCGCTGTGAGGGAGAGGACAGCCGCTCCCACAGCCTCCTCACAGAGACTAGTTTAGACGTGGGACAGGAATGATCAAGAGAGGAAGGGAAATGAGAAGTCCTCCATACTTCACGGTCATGGGTGCGTCTCCACTGCGGTTGGTGTAGTTGACGACGGCGTTAAAGGACTGGTTAACCCACTGCCAAAACACCACTGCTGGAGTAGTCCTGCAAAAAACATGAAGGAACAGCGACAGTGTGTTTGAGGAAGTGAGATTTCACGCTGCGTGTTCAGAGCCCTTTTGCGCTGTGGCAAAGAAGTGACACTACTTGAGAAAGTAGCTGCTAGCGACAAACACTTAAAAAAATAATTAAAAAAAAAAAAAGAGGATGCAAGCAAAACTACTAAGTAACCTACAGATTAAGAAACCCCCCAAAGCACTCGCTCTCTTCTTTATTATACCAATTTTACTATATAAAGCTATAATATATAGACTTTAAAATGTCACCATATGGTGCCCTCAAGTGGTAGGATGCAAAAACAACATTGTGGTTGATGGTAGTGCACGATACATCCAACCTGAACCTGAGTAATAAACATAAACATAATATGACAAAAATTATAGACTTAATTGTTAAATAATAAATTAACAAAAATGTGGAAAAAATACTTAAAATGTGAACTATTAACATAAAATTTTAAAATAAATCAGTTTTAAAAACTACAGCCAATAATCTATTATTTAGTTAGTTTAGTTTCACCGTCTATTTCTGTAATTACAAAGAGTATTAAAAGTCATCTCAGCTTTACTTTTTATCATATTGTGTATACTTTTATTGCAGATCAAACTGTTTCTCCCACACCCATAAACATAAACTACACTCTTCTTACACTACTGACACTTTATTCACTTTTAGTCACTTGCAGTTATTTATTCACCTTCAGTCACTTTAATTTTAAAATTGTGTAATTTTAAAACTGTATATACTGTGTATTTATTATTTCACTCCTATTGCCTGTTCCCATTGTCCTTATCTTTAACGTATGCTGCTCGGTTGTTTGTTATTTGCCCCTTGGGGATAAATAAAGTCTTCTGATTCTGAACATGAATTGATCACATAGCTTATTAAATGGTCACAGCATAGCGAGTTATCAGTAGAATTAAGAGCAACATTTTTTATTCTTTAAGAGGATTTTCCCTCTGCACAGGGATTAACATTTCTATTTTTGCTGCTGTATTAAGGCTGACTTTTGGTCACACAGAAACTGTATCAAATTCAGTCTTTCATTTATTAGATACTCATTTTTCCATTTCTAGATTCTCTTTAGGGAATCATTTTAGAAGCAGATTATAGTGAATCGTGTGTTTAAACCTGAGCTGTACCTGTAGAAGGTGAGCATGCAGCCTGTGATGGACATGTTCATTGGCACCTGAGCAGACATCCGGCCAATCACAAACATCTTCTCCCCTGTGTCGGGGTGGAAGGCAGAGTCATAGATGTATTTGGCTCTCCAGAGCTCATCCTCCGTCAGACCAGGCTTCACGATCCCAGCTCTGAAAAAGTCATAACAGTACAGAGCTACAGTACGAACTCTGCTTTTTTTGTTATATGTAAAAAACAAAACAAAAAAAAAACCCCCAGAGAAAACAAGTCAGCATATAATCTCTTTCAAAGCTCATTCCTATCCATGCCTTACTCAGATCCGACATACTATCCCGCTTCCCAAAAGGTTGGGACATTGTTGTAATATGCAAATAAAAACAGAATGCAATGATTAGCAAATCTCATAAAACGATATTCTATTTACAAAAAACAACATCAACAAAAAACACATGTCAAATATTTAAACTGAGAAAATGTACAACTATAAGAAAACTATTAGCTCATTTTGAATTTGATGGAAGTAACATTTGAGGAATGGGTCTTTTGTGTATGTAGAAAATGTTTCAGATTTTTGACTTCAGCTCATGGAAAATGGGAGCAAAAACAAAAGTGTTGCATTTATATTTTTGTTCAATGTATGAAATTGCCAGGTAGCACACCTGGAAAGGTATCACCATAAAGATACATACGGGTTTAAGAGCAACACATGCTCCCATCCACATGACTTCTTTTAACCCTAACCCTTGCATATTTCAGCAAGACAATGCAAAACCACACACCGCGTCCACATACTTAACCTTTCACCAACTGAAAACAGCACAAGATGAAAAATATGACAAATATGACCCCAAAATGTAGAGCAGTTCAAATCCTACGTGAGCCAAGAATAGGACAGCATTCCTCCCCCAAAATCCATAACTGGTCTCCTCAGTTCCCAGAAGAGAGGACTCAACACAATGGTAAACATGGCCCTTTTACAATGTTTTTGAGACATTTTGCTGCCAGTAAATTCAAAATGAGCTAATAATTTTCTTAAAATTGTACACTTTCTCAGTTTAAACATTTGATATGTTTTCTATATCCTATTGTAATTAAAATATGGGTTTTTACACAGTGTCTTTTGGAATAAGGGTTATATATTCCTACTCCCTTCTTTATATCTTGACCTTCTCTACCTGTAGTTCTCCACAGTCACTCTGGCCTCCTCCAGAGTCTCAGAGGACAGCAGGACGTTCCTGGGGTCCGTGACCATGAAGAAGTGCTTGGCGCGGCCCGTGAACGTGCCTTGGTCCCATCTTGGCTCCTTGATGTTTATGTTGCGGGACACCTCTTCTGACATCCTGGCTTCTTCACTCAGAAATGTTGATTAGTGCTCAGGCACAAACGTACAACACTGCAGAAAACATCAAGTCAGAAGAAAAAAAAGAACCGTATGAGTTGGATTAACTAATGCATTTCTCACAGAAAAGACTTGCCAGAACATTTCATAGACAAGAAAAAAAAAACCCAAAAAATAACAAACATAACCTGAAGGTAATTTTAAAATTTTATGCATGCTCAAATATCACAAACAGAGATCAAAGTTTGAAACAACATAAGTATGGCGACCTGATTCCTAGCCCTACAAGTGTAATTATTGTAATGAAAAACGCTGGCGGCAGAGATAAGCGCTCATCCGTGTTTCACTAAAAGCTGTGCTGCATTCCAGAGATACATTGTGCTAATGAAACCCTCCACCTTTACTGTACAGGACACCACCCTGTACAATCTTTGTGGAAACAACCCTTCGAGGCATTCGAGTTTTACTGCATTCTTCATCACTCAGTGCTTTCTGAAGCCTAAATAACACTTTCTGTTTGCTGTATTAAATTAAAACCACAATAAACTGTTGTTTTGTCCATTTGTGGGTTCCTTATAAGCAGCTTTTCGCTTTCAGTGCAGTCCAAATTAAAATGTGAGCTGTGTCTGTGAGTAAAGGATAAAGTAAAATTAAGATGATGTTTTTATCCATTAAATGCCCACACCACACCAAAAAGCCCACAGTCACTTAAAAATCGAAGTTGGACTGTACAATTTCAAATACAACAATACCTCACTTATAACTATTGACCTCCTTTGGATCCAACTCTTTATCTCTGTGCTGTTCACATTATGGCTTTTCAGCACAGTGTTAACTGGATAGCTTCATCCAGCACTTGGGCCATAATTGAGTAAGAAACTGGGGGGCACAGCAGTGTGGAGACCTTGGTTTGTTCTTACTGGCAAGGTCACAACTACCAATTTGATTTAAAAACAAAAAAACACCTTAAAGAGCGAGATAACACCTGATAGCGTGGATAAATAGATAACAGAAGAGTTGGCTATTGGTTTGCTCCTTCAAACTATGTGTAAAGTACATGAGCCTCCAATCGCCTCACTAGCGAGACAACCACATGAATGATGTTTGTAATACCGAAATAGCTGATTAAAGAAAACCGCGACAGAAACAGTGGCAGATGGGTTTGGGGTTGTCACGACAGGTGCCCCAGTTCCTATCACCAAGCTGGCTGCTAAACGGCTAGCGAACACGCTAGCAAGGTAGCCGACAGCAGCACTGCAAATCACGAACTGGAGAACAGAAATACCCACTGTTCTTAATAAAACTGAGTTAAATGTAAAAAAACAAAACAAAACAAAACAAAACACCCTCCCAAAAAAACATTAAATGTTCGGACAGATGGGAGAACAAACAGATTTCTAATGTCATCAAAATACCTGCTAACTAACGTCCCCTAACCAGCTAGTTTACAAGCTAGCAAGCACATTAGCGCCTCAGTTAGCCCTCAGTTAGCGTTGTAAGGACAAATATGGAAATAGAGTGAGCGCTAACTTAATCAGGATCTGATCATTATTAATCAGTGAAGTGAATTCAGCAATCACGGAAACATACCTGCTCTTAACTCCCTGGTTTTTGAAAATGTATGACCTCTCAATATCACAGCACCGCCGGGAAGACATATGCTGCCTTCGCGTACTTATTGAAATATAGTAACATAGCATTTTGAAAAAAAGGATGGGTCGGTAAATAATATGCGGAGAAAGTAACTATCAATAATGTTCTGTCTATGTTCTGTGTTACTCATATGAGGTTTCGTTACAGATGTAATGCCTACAATGATAAAATAATGGGAATTAAAATGCGTGCCAGACAGTATGTGGACGGTCAAAGACTTCTTCGATTTGTTTGCTCAGTTGCAGTATGATGAATGTCTATTCTATTCCATTGTTTTTTATTAAATACAACAATAGAAAATGTAAACGTGTGAGGTTTAACTTGATCAAAAATATAGAATAAATCGTTTAAATGTAGTCAAACTGTTCGCATGAAGCTGAGGGTAAAAACAAAAACGAGCTTCTAAGCTGCCCGTTAAGGCAGCGCCATGCGACGAAACAGGAGGGGCGGTGTTTGTGGTGAAAAACTTCTGGGCGTGGGAGGAAGATCACGCAGGATTGGCTAAAAGCTGACGGGACAGGGGAGGAGTCCACTTCCCAGAAGTCCTTAGTTTATTAAGTGTGCCTATTAGTGATGGGATTTCCGACTCTTTTTAGAGAACCGGCTCTTTCAGCTCGACTCACTAAAAAGACCCGGCTCTTTTGGCTCTGAACCGTCTCTTCAGGTTGTTTTGTTGCTTTAATTTATTTATTATTAACAATAATATAAAATTATGCACAAAAGGAATTACTAATGTAAAAAAAAGTGGTTTGTGGTTTTATTTATATATGTTTATATACAGTGTTGGGGAGTAACGGAATACATGTACCGCCGTTACGTATTTAAAATACAAAATATGAGTAACTGTATTCCGTTACAGTTACCGTTTAAAAAGG